ATGCAGGCAAAACATCAGGAGAGAATGCTTCTAGAACATGGCCATATGGCCTAAAAAACCTACAACAATCCATTGTCTGAGTCTACAGTGCACTCTGAATGTAGGTGAACCATAACTCCAGAACTCAAGGTCAATGCCCACAAAGCCTTCCAGTATTTTCTGGTGTTTATGGGAGTTCTGTGTGCCAAGTTTGCTTCAATTCCATTATTGGTGGAGTTCAGAATGCTCTTTGATTGTAGGCGAACTATAAATCTCAGCAACGACAACTCCCAAATGACAAAATCAACCCTCCCACAAACTCACCAATATTCAAATTTGGGTGTATTGGATATTTGTACCAAATTTGGTCCAGTGAATGAAATATATCCTGCATATCAAATATTTACATTACAATTCGTAACAGTAGCAAAATTACAATTATGAAGAAGTAACAAAATAATGTTATGGTTGGGGGTCACCACAACATTAGGAACTGTATTAAGGGGTCACGGCATTAGGAAGGTTGGAAAACACTGGATTAGATTAATCTGAGCTAGTGATGCTTCAGGGTGCAAAGACCTTTGTTCCTCTCTCCTGAGTACTTAAGGCTCTCGTCAGTATTTCACAGATTGTATCTGCCAAGAAAACCCCATGATCGGTTGTCTTAAATTAGCAATGACTTGAAGGCACACAACAACTAAAACAAGGGCTGGTTTACGGAGAGTACTTTTGAGCAATAGCAAAGTCATTTGATGAACTGGGCAAAAGATGAAAGTAAAAAAAAAATATTCTAAATGTTTGTTGTTGTTGTGTGCCTTCAAGTCATTTCCGATTTATGGCAACCCTATTGTGGTGTTTTCTTGACAACATTTCGGATCAGAAGGAGTTTCTCTGTGCCCTTTTCTGTGGATGAAAGAGCATGATTTGCCCAAGGCCTTGGATTTCCATTGCCAAGAGGAACATTTGAATTCTGGTCTCCCAGGACCCTAGTCCAACATTCAAACCAAACAGGCTATTGTGTTGTTGAAGGCTTTCATGGGCAGAATCACTGGGTCGCTGTGAGTTTTTCAGGCTGTATGGCCATTTTCCAGAAATATTCCCTCCTGACATTTCACCCACATCTATGGCAGGCATCTTCAGAAGTTGTGAAGTCTGTTGGAAACTAGGCAAGTGAGGTTTAGATATCTGTGGAATGTCCAAGGTGGAAGAAAGAACTATTGTCTGCTTGAGGCAAGTTTGAATGTTGCCATTGGCCACCTTGATTAGCATTGAATGACCTTGCAGCTTCAAAGCCTAGCTGCTTCCTGCCCAAGGGAATCTTTTGTTGGGAGCACCTTATTATTATTATTATTATTATTATTATTATTATTATTATTATTAATATGGGTTCCCTCATCCCCTCACCTTTCATTTTCCTTTGGTTTGGTCAGTTTGAGGCAATTGGAAATGTTGCAATTGGCCACCCTGATTAGGGAAGCAGGGGAATTCCAGACAGTAAACAATTAGGACCGGCTAATACCTCCCAACGAAGGATTCTCCTAGGCAGGAAGCAGCCAGGCTTTGAAGCTACAAGGATATTCAATGCTAATCAACCCAGCTGCAACATTCACATTTGCCTCAAACAGACAAGAGTTCTTTCTCCCACCCTGAACATTCCACAGATTTATTATTATTATTATTATTATTATTATTATTATTATTATCATTATTATTGTCGTGTCAGGACTAACTTGACAAACTGCAAGTTGCTTCTGGTGTGAGAGAATTGGCCGTCTGCAAGGACATTGCCCAGGGGACACCTGGATGTTTTGATGTTTTTACCATCCTTGTGGGAGGTTTCTCTCATGGCCCCACATGAGGAGCTGGAGCTGATAGAGGGAGCTCATCGACACTCTCCCCAGATTCGAACCTGCGACCTGTCAGTCTTCAGTCCCCCGGCACAGGGGTTTAACCCACTACGCCACTGGGGGCTCCTTTATTCCACAGATATATAAACCTTACTTGCCTAGTTTCCAATTCACCTCATAACCTCTGAGGATGCCTGCCACAGATGTGGGCGAAATGTTCTGAGGATGCCTGCCATAGATGTGGGCGAAATTCCCCCAGGGAAGAAGCAGCCAGGCTTTGAAGCTACAAGGCCATTCAATGCTAATCAAGGTGGCCAATTGCAACATTTTTCAGCAATGAAAAAGAAAAATGTACTGAAGTAGAGGTTTTGGGAAAAGGCAGCATGGTGCAATGGTATAAGTGTTGGATCCCGATTTCTGCAGAGAAGGTTCAAATGTCCACTGAGGTACAGAAACCTGCTCGGTGACCTTGAGCAAGTCACATTCTCTCAGCCTCAGGGGAAGGCGATGGGAAACCTCCTCCAAGACATCTTGCCAAGAAAACCCTATGATAAGGGTTATCATACGTTGAAGTTGGCTTGAAGGCACGCAACAACAAAATAGGAGCTTTGTGCCACATCTCTGGTTCAAAGGTTTAACAGCTGTGCCACTGGGAGACATTCAAGGAGTTCTGCCAATTTCCTATGGATCCCACAATTGATGCTCTTGTGCAAAGACACTGGGATGTGAATAATAAGCCAGTCATTTTCCTCACCAATTAAACTCAGGGCATGAGAAATCCTGGGATATAGAGCAGTGTAGATCCATCCTCAGGCCCCTTCCCAGGATCTGATCCAAGATTTTCTGTTTATCCCAGGTGAAGACTCATAAAGCTGATACTCTGGGATCAGATCCTGGGAAGTGTGGAAGGGGCTTCAGTGAGCTTTCTGGCTCAGCCTAGACTAGAACTTGGATTTCCCGAGGGTCCTTCCAAACAGACATATAACCCAGAATATCAAGGCAGATAATCCACAATATCTGCTTTGAACTGGACTATCTGAGTCCACATTGCCATATCATCCAGTTCAAGGTGCATTTTATACAGCTTTGTGGAAGGGCCCCAAGTTTCTAGCCCAGCACTCCTAGGCTGGATCTACATTGCATTACAATGCAATCTGGAACAAAATTGCTGGCAGTCCCTGAGTTACAAACATCTGATTTACAAACAACTCCTAGTTAAGAACGGAGGTGAGTTAACAGGAAGTGTGAGAAATCTACCCCTAGGAAGGGAAATCCACTTCTGCAAGAGTTATTATCATGGGGAAAAGGTGTCTCCACTGAAACTTGTATGTGTATGTGCATGTGTATGCGTATGTATGTATGTATGTATGTATATGTGTGTGCGTATATATATTCACATACACACATACATACATATACATATTTATTTATTTACAACGTTTACATGCCGCCCTTCTCTCCCCAAAGGGAACTCAGAGCAGTGTAGGTAATATGTACATACAATATATTATATTATTAGCATAGTACAATATTAGTATTATATATTACTATATTGTACTATACCACTGTACTGTAATATTATTAGTAATATTACATGTAATACGAAATATAAAATTATTATATTGTATTATTATTAGTAGTATTATATTGTATTACATTATAATATTATCAATATTATATGTGTATACAATGTATTATATTATTAGCACAGCACAATATTAATATTATATATTACTATATATTTTACCACTGTACTGTAAGATTATTAGTAATATTACATGTAATACAAAATATAAAATTATTATATTGTATTATTATTATTATTAGTAGTAGTAGTATTATATTGTATGACATTATAATATTATCAATATTATATGTGTCTACAATGTATTATATTATTAGCACAGCACAATATTAGTATTATATGTTACTATATAAGTCGTGACAGACTTTGTATTTCTAGGTGCAAAGATTACTGCAGATGCAGACTGTAGCCAGGAAATCAGAAGACGCTTACTTCTTGGGAGGAGAGCAATGTCCAATCTCGATAAAATAGTAAAGAGTAGAGACATCAGAATGGCAACAAAGATTCGCCTAGTCAAAGCCATGGTATTCCCTGTAGTAACCTACGGATGTGAGAGCTGGACCTTAGGGAAGGCTGAGCGAAGGAAGATCGATGCTTTTGAGCTGTGGTGTTGGAGGAAAGTTCTGAGAGTGCCTTGGACTGCGAGAAGATCCAACCAGTCCATCCTCCAGGAAATAAAGCCCGACTGCTCACTGGAGGGAAAGATACTAGAGACAAAGTTGAAGTACTTTGGCCACATCATGAGGAGACAGGAAAGCCTAGAGAAGACAATTATGCTGGGGAAAGTGGAAGGCAAAAGGAAGAGGGGCCGACCAAGGGCAAGATGGATGGATGGCATCCTTGAAGTGACTGGACTGACCTTGAGGGAGCTGGGGGTGGTAACGGCCGACAGGGAGCTCTGGCGTGGGCTGGTCCATGAGGTCACGAAGAGTCGGAGACGACTGAACGAATGAACAACAACAACATGTTACTATATATTATACCACTGTACTGTAATATTATTAGTAATATTACATGTAATATGAATATATAATTATTATATTGTGTATATATTGGTATGGAGTTATACTTTTAAAATGTACCCGTTCTGACTTACAAACAAATTCAACTTAAGAAAACACCTACATAGCCTATCTTCTTTCATGGCCGGAATCACTGGGTTGCTGTGGGTTTTCCGGGCCATGATCCAGAAGCATTCTCTCCTGACGTTTCTCCCACATCTCTGGCGGCATCCTAAGAGGTTGAGAGGTCAGGTTATGAGGATGCCTGCCATAGATGTGGGTGAAATATCAGGAAAGAATGCTTTTGGAACATAGCCATACAGTCCGGAAAATGCACAGCAACCCAATGATTCTCGCCATGAAAGCCTTCGAGAACCGATCTTGTTTGTAACTTGGGGACTACCTGTATATGGTCAATGTAGACCTATAAAATACAGATCAGTGCAGTTAAACCACATTATATAGGTCTGCCCTGGCTATACAATGGAGTTCTAAGTTGCATTATAAAGCAATGTAGATCCAGCCATAAACTCCCTGCCACACAAGCTCCATTCTTTGCTGTCAGAAGCATGTGCGAGAAGTACTCACATTACCACCATGGTGACGACCATGGAGCCCAGGACTATTCCTATGATGAGGAGAATGACATTCTTTTTCTGCAAGAAGTTTGGACCTGAGAGCATGTCTTCCAGGGAAGGTCGGTGTCTTTCCACGATCTCCTGCGCTACCTTCGGCGGGGGATTCAGTATGGCAATGAACATACTTTGCAGCTCTTTTTCCAGCCCAAGTCTTTTCTCTGTCACTGCAAGAAAGGGAGGCAGAAAGTTCAAGCTACTTACTCGTCTCATTTCAGCTGGCAATTTTACTGTTTAGATTTCATCACTTTGAATTTTTTTATATGTGTATTAAAGGGTTTCTCCTGACATTAAGTCTACTCTGGGAGGTGGTGCTCATCTCCATGCCAGCCACATGAGCTTGGAAGTGTCCAAGGACAACGCCAAAGTGCCGGCGTTCTCCATAGACACTTCCAAGGTCATGTGATCGGCATGACTGAATGGAGCGCCGTTACCTTCCTTTAAAGCGGTACCTATTGATCTACTCACATTTTTATGTTTTCGAACTGCTAAATTGGCAGGAGCTGGGGATAACAGTGGGAGCTCACCCTCATTCCCTAGATTCGAACCACCGACCTTTCAGTCAGCAAGTTCAGCAGCTCAGCAGTTTAACCTGCTGCGCCACCGGTGGCTCATGCAGGTGTATATTAAAACCTATAAAAGCTGAGCCTTTGCTTTAGAGCACTAAATTCATTTTTTATCTTAACAGGTTGTGTGAGTGGATGTACATGCTTGGATTTTGTTAATGATCAAGAGAAAACTCTCTGCTCATGCTCAGAGAACATTCACACCTAGCTCCAACAGACAAGGGTTCTTTCTCCCACTCTGGTCTTTCCACAGATATAAAACCCAGTTTTTCTAGTTTCCAACAGACCTTACAACCTCTGAGGATGCCTGCCACAGATGCAGGCGAAACAGATGCAGGCCCTTGTGCTTTGCTACTCTGCTGCTGAGTACGCATGCCCAGTGTGGAACACATTTCACCACACTAAAACAGTAGATGTGGCTCTTAATGAGAGAATGCTTCTAGAACATGGCCATACAGCCCAAAAAACCTACAACAACCCACAATGTAATCTATTCTCCCTTTAACACTTTCCTATCCTGTCCCTCTGATAGAGAATCCTCTCACACTCTCTGTCCCAATATGTCTGTGATTGTTATGTCCTCACCATTGACATAGAAGTACTTTCTGATGAGCAAGTCATCTCCTTCTGCGATCTCACAGATGAATGTCCCATGGTGGGCTCCTAAGGTGGGCCGGATTAGGAGGGTTGGATTGAACCCAAAGGCCAGGTCTTGGAACAGAAAAAGGTCCTCAGTTCTGAGCTGTAGATGAAGAGGTGCAAAAAAGTATGAGATAATCAAGGAGGGACTCAGAGTTGGAGATGGGACAAGGGAACAAGACAATGTTGGCCGGTGGTGGGGAACCCAAATCGTCGCTCTATTAATGCTAAAATCTGCAAATAGAAGAGACTTCCATTGAATTCATTGTTGAATGATGAATCCCCAGAAAGGTAAACACAACTAAGGATACACATATACTTTAGAAATATGTATATTGATTACTTTAACTTCTGTAGCTTAATGCCATGGGGGTGTGGGAGTTGTAGTATTACAAGGTCTTCAACCTTGTTTGCTGGGGCCTCACCAAACTACAACTCTCAAGAGCCCATAGCATTGAGCCATAGCAGTTAACATGGTGTCAAACTGCATTCATTTTACAGTGTAGATGCACCCTGAGCCAATGCCTGTGGCTTTTTGGGGATTGAAATAGATTTAAGTCATAAAGTATTAAACCATCATTCAGCTTCCTTGGCAAGATTAATTCCAAGGAGATTTGCTATTGCCTTCCTATGCAGCTGAGAGTATGACTTGCCAAGGATCTTCCAGAGAGTTTCATGGTGAGGCAGGATTCGAACCCTGGACTTCCAGAGACCAAATCCCTTTCTGCACTATCATATAATCCAGATTTATTTTTATTTATCACTTGCCGTCCCCTGCCACGCATTGTGTAGCTCAATCTGTGTATATATGTTTTGTATATGCATATATATGTGCATTTGCGTATATAGGTTAAAGGTAAAGGTTTCCCTTGACATTAAGTCCAGTCATGACCCTGGGGTGTGGTGCTCATCTCCATTTCTAAGCCGAAGAACCAGTGTTGTCCATAGACACCTCCAAGGTCATGTGGCCGGAATGACTGCATGGAACGCCGTTACCTTCCCACYGGAGTGGTACCTATTGATCTACTCACATTTGCATGTTTTCGAACTGCTAGGTTGGCAGAAGCTGGGGCTGACAGTGGAAGCTCACGCCTCTCCCCGGATTCGAACCCGTGACCTTTTGGTCAACAAGCTCAGCAGCTCAGTGCTTCAACCTACTGCGCCACCAGTGTATATGTGTATATATGTGCGTTTGCGTGTATATGTGTGTGTGTGTGTGTGTGTGGTTTTGTGCATGCGTTGAAATGTATTTGGGGGGGGGGGTTGGCTTTTAAAGTCTCTTCTGCTGTGTTTTTATGAGTGATGGTCACTCGTTGGCCTGATAGGTGTATTGTCTCCAAATTTGGTGTCAATTTGTCCAGTGGTTTTTGAGTTATGTTAATCCCACAAACGAACATTATATTTTTATGTATATAGATGTCAAAAGCAAGTTAAGGGTACRGTTAAAATGCATGTAAAAACACAAAGTTAAAAAAAACTTGGCATTATACTAACGTTCTTTGACCAGTAGCTGGCCACTGTGGTGTCGCTGTGAGAAGGTCCTCCATTGTGCATGTGGCAGGGCTCAGGTTGCATTATAGTAGGTGGTCTGTAGTTTGCTTTTCTCCACATTAGCATCTCGTGGACTCCACTTTGTAGCCCCATTTCTTAAAATTAGCTCTGCATCTTGTGGTGCCAGAGTGCAGCCTGTTTAGCGACTTCCAAGTCATCCACTCTTCTCGCCCAAGAGGGAGTTTCTCATCCGGTCTCAGCCACTGATTGAGGAGTTGGGTGTCAGCCTGCCACTTTTGGACTCTTGCTTGCTGAGGTGTTCCTGCAAGTATCTATGTAGATCTTAGGAAGCTGTTTCTTGATTTAAGGTGTTGGCATGCTGGCTGATATCCGAACAGAGGATGGGCCAAAAACGTCAATGCTTTCATTACTGGCTGCTACTTCCTGGCAGATGTCAGGTTGTGCAATACCAGTTAAACAGTGTAATTTCTCCAGTTGTGTGGGGCATAGACATCCTGTGACAATGCAGCATGTCAAATTAAGAGCCACATCCACTGTTTTAACGTGGTGAGATGTTTCCCACACTGGGCATGCGTATTCAGCAGCAGAGTAGCAAAGCGTAAGGTAGATGCCTTCACTGTGTGGATTATCAAAGCAAACAATCCACATTATCTACTTTGAACTGGATTATATGAGTCAACACTGCCATATAATCCAGTTCAAGCAGATAATCTGGATTTTATATGGCCATGTGGAAGGGGCCCTAGTATAATGCAGTACAATAATACAATGCTGGCCCTTATTTCTTGATTCAACCTCCAGCAATTACTTGTGTGGGCCTCCTAGAGCAGGGACAAACCAACAGGCTTCTGGCCATCATATGTTCAATTGTAGCCATTTCATTAAATATCAAGTGGGACGTACACATAAATAAATATAAGAGATGATTTCATCCCCATCATATTTTTTCTCTGAAGTTGGCCCTATTATTGTTAATGGGATTATGCAAGCATGCTTTGGATTTCAATTTCAGTGTTTTTTGCTTTGGATACAATTTATGTGGGAAGATAATTATTTTCTTATGTAACCGCAGGGATCCAGGGAGGAATAGAGATGGGGGAGATGCCTCCCCACTCCTCCAGCTGTCTCTCTTATGCTTGGAAATAGAACAAGTGGAGATTGCAAACTGGGCCAGAAAACAAACAACAGAATAATCAGGTAAAAGGACAGATGATACCCCTTATGGACACAATCATCCATGGATGCTCAAGTCCCGTTACATACAAAAGCAGAGTAAAATGGCATATCTTATATAACTAGGGCAGAAATCTAGGTTTTCATTTTAATATATATATATATATATATATTCAAGCCAGTGTGATTAAATCCATGGATATATAGAATCTGTGGGCACAAACCCGACTGTACAGGCAGTCCCCAAGTTAGGAACAAGTTAGATTCTGTAAGCTTGTTATTAAATTGAATTTGTTTGCAAACCGGAACAGATACATTTTTAAGTGTAAGGTAAAGATAAAGGTTTATCTTGACATTAAGTCTAGTCGTGTCTGACTCTGGTGTTGTTGTTGTTTATTCCTTCAGTTACTTCTGACTCTTCGTGACCTCATGGACCAGCCCACACCAGAATTCCATCGGCCGTGGCCACCCCCAGCTCCTTCAGAGTCAAGCCCGTCACTTCATGGATACCATCCATCCATCTTGCCCTTGGTCGGCCCCTCTACCTTTTCCCAATTTCCCCAGCATCATTGTCTTCTCTAAGCTTTCCTGTCTCCTCATGATGTGGCCAAAGGACTTCAACTTTGTCTCTAGTATCCTTCCCTCCAATGAGCAGCCGGGCTTTATTTCCTGGAGGATGGACTGGCTGGATCTTCTCGCAGTCCAAAGCACTCTCAGAACTTTCCTCCAACACCACAGCTCAAAAGCATCTCTCTTCCTTTGCTCAGCCTTCCCTATGGTCCAGCTCTCACATCCATAGGTGACTATGGGGAATACCATTGCTTTGACTATGAGGATCTTCGTTGCCAGTGTGATGTCTCTACTCTTCACTATTTTATCGAGATTGGACATTGCTCTCCTCCCAAGAAGTAAATGTCTTCTGATTTCCTGGCTGCAGTCTGAGTCTACAGTAATCTTTGCACCTAGAAATACAAAGTCTGTCACTGCCTCCATGTTTTCTCCCTCTATTTGCCAGTTATCAATCAGTCCGGTTGACAGAATCTGTTTTTTTTAATGTTTAACTGCAACCCAGCTTTGGCACGATCTTCTTTCACCTTGATTAGAAGGCTCCTCAGCTCCTCCTCGCTTTCAGCCATCAAAGTGGTATCACTTTGGGGAGTGGTGCTCATCTCCATTTCTAAGCCGAACAGCCAGCGTTGTCCGTAGACACTTCCAAGGCCAGGTGGCCGGCAAGACTGCATGGAGCGCCGTTACCTTCCTGCAGAAGTGGTACCCATTGATCTACTCACATTTGCATGTTTTTGAACTGCTAGGTTGGCAGAACCTCGGTCTAACAGTGGGAACTCACCCGGGGAGCAGGGTGAGCTCCCACTGCTCCCCGGATTCGAACCACCAAACTTTCGGCCAGCAAGCTCAACAGCTCAGCGGTTTAACCTGCTGTGCCACAAGGAGGTAAAGAGGGTTAAGTGTAACTCCAGCCAAAAATATATCTTTTTTAGCTTTCGATACCATAGGGAAAAGGAGCCCCCAGTGGTGCAGTGAATTAAAGCACTGAGCTGCTGAAATTGCTGACCGAAAGGTTGCAGGTTCAAATCCGGGGAGTGGCGTGAGCTTCTGGCAACCTAGCAATTTGAAAACATGCAACTGTGAGTAGATCAATAGGTACCACTCCGGCGGGAAGTTAACAGTGCTCTGTGCAGTCATGCTGGCCACATGACCTTGGAGGTGTCTATGGACAACGCTGGCTCTTCAGCTTAGAAATGGAGATGAGCACCACCCCCAGAGTCAGACATGACTAGACTTAATGTCAGGGGAAAACCTTTACCTTTACCTTTACCTTTACCTTTACCTTACCATAGGGAAGGGTTAACAAACCTGTGGTGTTTGTTTTACTATCTGTGCCGCTGTTTCAGAAGATTTCACCTCAATCTCAGCAAGCGAGAGTCCAAAAGTGGCAGGCTCAAACCCAGAACCTCAACCAATGGCTGATACCCCCTGGGCACACAGAGAACTGGGCAACTTGGAAGGTGCTGAACAGACTGCGCTCCGGCACCACGAGATGCAGAGCCAACCTCAAGAAATGGGGCTACAAAGTGGAATCCACGACATGCGAGTGTGGAGAGGAGCAAACCACTGACCACCTGCTGCAATGCACCCTGAGCCCCCACATGCACAATGGAGGACCTTCTTGCAGCAACACCAGAAGCACTCCAACTGGCCAGATACTGGTCAAAGGACATTTAATCAACTACCAAACTCACAAATTTTGTATTTTGTCTGTTTGTTTGCTTTATTCTGTTAGAAATGTAATATAATTGACTGGTTGCCCTGACACGACAAATAAATAACCTCAATCTCTGTCCCTTTGACAATTGGATTTTGAAAAATTTGGCTTGTTGTGGAAACAAGGATTGGCAA